AGGGGAGAAATGCATAGCAACAGGAGTGTTGATAATTACTCATTAAATGACATTACCCGTACAAACGAAAATTTAGAAATTTGTTCTATTTATCCTCAACTCTGATTCTTAAAGAATTCACTTAGGCGTTACCAAGAATCTTTTCAATTCAATTCAATTAACAAATGATGATTAGAAAATAAGTAACCGGATTCATGAATCATCACTCCATTTTGGAAACAATACATGCAGAAAGCTGAACAGACCCAATCCAGAAACCCAATCATCCAGTTAGAACTCAAAGGTATGATTCCGATTTATTAGCACCCTATCTGATATGTCCAACAGAATAGTTCATCACACAGGTCAATTTTTTCAGTTTTAACTGAGATGCAGGTCAAAGTAAAAAATAGAGAACCCATCCATGAGCATTATCTCTCGACTATGATTGGAGATTTAGCCAATTTGGTTGTAATGTCACTAACAAACACCACTAAATCTCGCATCATCTCTTGAATATTAGATGAGCATTATCTTATGAGCAATAACCCAAACTCAGACTGGTCGCGGACCACGATCTTCTTGCAAAGCTAAGAAATTTAGCCAACCCACTTGGTGAGATAAAGATTAATTCAACATACTAAGGAAACAGAAAAATAATATATATTACCGCAGGTTAATCCATCCAAAAGGATATTCATTTGACTTTTAACTGATTTAGGGGAAGAGAACAAGAAATCAATATTCTGATAGGAAATAACAGAATCCCCAGTTCATCGTTTTCTTTCCTGGAACGGAGAGAGAGAAAATGGTCAACCATCCCAACAACAGTGACCATCAATGCCCTTCAACCAATAACTTTATGATTTTCAATGGAGCAAACAATTGATGCCCAAAGCCTCACTTCTTACAACAAATGCTGACAGCTCAATTTAAACTTAATACAGGTGTTTTACCCATGACCTTACTAAATTTATCCGTCGGGTTTCTTATTTTCTCCATATAGAGCGAGCACGTTCCATAAAACATATCAAAGTGGAAATAAGATGTTGACTCTGAGTTATCAATCATTCTAACTAGCAATAGAGAAAAGAAGGGGGGAAAGAAAAAGGAGTGGAAATAAATGCACCTTGTATTCAAGTGAATCAAATCCCTTGCAAACAAATTCAAACAAAGTTTTCAAATTCTCCGGACTTGGTGCAGTCACAAAGATATTTGAATACCTAGTACAAAAAAACTTCTGTTATCAGAATGATGGAAACATGGAATTGGCAAAAAAACTATAATGAAAATGAAGAAATAATTACCCAGCAGCAATAGCACCAGCGATTGCTAAGCCAAGAGCAGCTGATTTACCACGACCCCGAGAAGCAAGTAAAGCAATTGTATTACGTAGAGTCTTATCCAAAATTGCATCAAGAAATGTAATGACAGCTTTCCCCTGCCCAAAAAAGATCGATTGTACCATAAGCCACTGAAGACAGATGAAAGATTTATTCTAAGATCACTGCAGATTGAAATTTATAAATCCACCTGATCTAGAGTGCAGCATTTCCTTATCAAAGGTCCGACAGGAAAATCATCATTGAGTTGGTCTTTTAAATCTTGTAGGTGCCTCTGTGCTTCTGATAGCCCTTCGGAGTCCTTAAACCACCAATTAAGAGGCAGACAATCAAATACTGTCCTTTAATAGTTGTAATGGGAAATGCAGGAGGAAGAACAGTACAATGTGTCGTGCTGGGCAGACCTAGTAAAAGATCTTAGACTTTCAACTTAGAGAATTTCCCATGCCAGAGTAAAGAGAAAATCCATTTATCACCTCTTTCGCCGGAACTGGAGTAATTGATCTGATGTGGGAAGATATTGGTAAAACATTGAGCTCGTCATCCATAACCACACATGATTTGCACGAAGCGAGTGATAATAAGAATCTCTCATTAAAGCGTCCAGTAGCCTCAGAATGGGATTCAGTACGGAACCTCTCGTGAACATCCTGTAATCACAGTCTTATATTAGGTGGCCAAACCATAAGACATTTCCATGAGGCCAATACTATGCATCATAGTGATGGTGTACAAAGACTACTCAATGAAGTGAGACATCTCAGCAGCAACACGATCTATTGCAAGACAAATAGTACAAAACCATGAGATATTGCAAGAAGAGTATACAACATACCATAACCATGGTATAAAGACTAGTCAATGAGGAGAGATTGCGAAGCAGCAATACAATCAACCCACCGCCCTCCACTGTTTCGATTGTTCTGGCAAGTAGATTTGGGGTCAAAGCTTCAAAATCCTAAAAGAGTGCAAAAGGTATTTACGCATGCAAAAGAAAGTTAAATGTTGCAAATTGCTATGATCAGGGGATTGTAACTAGAACTGCATGTGGGGGCAAACTGGAAAAAAGTTCCACCTGAAGTATGCACATTCCAAAAGTGTTTCCGAGAATTCTTTCAGAATCCTTGTACAAGCAATATGTCAACCCTCCACTTTCCACAAAGAGTGAAAAAGGGTCAACCTTCTCTGGATCCAAGAGCCCCCTCTGCATCAACTTTTTAATTTGCTTTGCCCGTTTCTTCTTGTGACTGCACAGAGAATCGGAATCATACCAGTCACAACTAACACATCGACAGTTATTTCCAATAATTAACAGAAAATAGAAATGATTATCAAGATAAGAGTAGTGCAGGACCCAGAATGACTGAATGAGGATGATGCCATTACCCTAACTTCATACAAGGAAAATGATTTCTAAATGACACCTGAAATACGACGAGGAGACGCAGCATGGAGTTCTAATGCATTCGGGGTGTTCAGAAAGATGACAACCTGCTGAGTTCAAGCTTATCCTTGTAGCACCACAAGACCGTCGGCCTAGACTTGATCACCGCCTTGCTCAGCATGTAGTGAAGATTCACAATCTGTCACACACGGCAACAAAGTTCTCACTTTCCCGAAACACAGTTCAAGAACGGGCCAACCCAGTTGGGCAAAAGAGCGGGCCACCAAAATTTGACCCAGTTCAAGACCTATGCAAAAGTTCACGAATTCAACAGGTCCGTCCTAAAATGCACTGAACTAGCTCACACCGGCAGGGAATGAATCGACACACAACCGAGCTCAAAACACGCGAACAGATTCCGGGGCGACGGGGGTGGCACCTGGTCACGGGACTTGTCGCCGACGACGACGAACACGGACCGGTGGCGCGTCTTGACGCCGTTCTCGATGAGCGTCCTGATCCGCTCGTCCACCTTCTTCCTCATCGTCGATCCTTTTCCCCGGCTGCTCGCTCCTCCCCGGAATCCGTCGGCGCGGCGCTGCAAATGGCGTCCGGAACGTTCCCCCGGGAAGGGCGGTGCGAGGAGGGTTTAACAGGCCGGTGGATTTAGGGTTTTAGGGGCCGGGGGGTAGGAGAGAGGGGTTTTGGGCGAAGACGATCCGATCCGATCCGTACCCGGACGACGGTGCGCGGGTCGGATCTCGGGCGACCCGTATGGGACCGAATCGGGTCTAGACGGGCTTTGCGACTAGGCCCATGTAATTCTATGCTATTCTAGCCATCGTGCGTGAGCCTAGCCAGTTCTGCTCATAACGCGGCATGTGTCCTTTGATGTTGAATACAAAATTGGAAGCGGAAGCTCTCTCTTCTCTTTCCATGGGCCGACGACAGACTTCGGAAAGGACCGACACAAGCGGTAATAAATGTCAGCTCTCTCTCTCTCTCTCTCTCTCCATGCTTTGTAACAAAACTCATTTCAAGATGGGCAAAAAGCTTTAAGACTGTTTATACTTTTTCTCTGAAAAAAGTCTGCCTTTACTTTAACTGTCGTCGTCGAAAAAAAACAGAACGCAGTACAAGGGCTGTGGCTGCCAGCGGTGGCCGCCACGCCCGCCGGAAGGAGCTGCGCCTCGCCTCGGGCCTTCCGGCGGCGACTCGCGCCGGGCCGAGTGCCGGCGAGGGCGGCGTCCGGGGCGAGGGTCGCGCCTTCCCCAGACGGGCCCGGCAGCCCTCGCCGGCGACTGCCCGTGGCGCGAGGTCGCCGGCCGCGGAGCTCCAGGCCTCGCCCGGGTCGCGGCCGCCTCTCCCAGATCGGGGCTCCGGGCCCTCGCCGGCGACTCTCGCCCGGGCGGCGAGGTCGCCGCCTTCCCGGAAGGCCTGCAAGGGCCGCGCTCCTTCCCGGCGTGCCAGGCGAAGGCTTGCCACGCCTGCAATGCTATTCTCGTTTTTTTTTTTTTTCGAGCGTTAATTGAACATTATAACGTAGGTAGATGGGACTGAAAAAGTTCGAGGTTTTTCTGAGAAAAAAAAAGTTCAGTGATAATTCAAAGTAAAGTTGTGTGGGTTTTTTTTGGAATTGAGCCTTTCAAGATGAGGCCCTCTTTCACGACCTTGAGGGATATTGCAGCTAGGGGTGTCACAAAAGCCCGAGCTGACCCGGCTCGACCCGACCCGACCCGAATTTTTAGGGTATTTTAGGGTCAGGTCTTATTTTCTCTGGGTATGGATTTTAGATGTGGGTATTTATTAGGATCGGGTCGGGTTGGGCCGGGCCGGGGGTTTTTGGACCTAGCACCAAATATAACCCTTCTCCCCTCCCCCTTTCCATGGGCCGACGACAGACCGCGGAAAGGGACCGACACAAGCGGTAATAAATGTCAGCCTGCTCTCTCTCTCTCTCTCTCTCCATGCTTTGTAAACAAAACTCATTTCAAGATGAGGCCCCTCTTTCACGACCTTGAGGGATATTGCCGCGAAGGAGGGAGAGAGAGAGAGGAGAGGGGGGGACATTAATTTTGCTATGAGCAAAAAAAAAATATAAATCTTTAATTTGGAATATCTCTTGAAAAGTCAAAAAAAAAAAAAAGAACTTTTTTCTTTTTGGTCTGAGAAAGCATGAAAAATACTTTGACATCTATATTCTCCTCCTCTTTAGAACAATAAAAAATGTTAACTTTAGTCTATCTATATAAAGAAAAACACACACTCTCTCTCTCCTCTCTCTCTCTCTCTCTCTCTCACATTTCAAAGCCCTGCCAGAACCCCGGCGCACCTCGCTGCGTCCGCATCAATGGCCGGTTCCTGGGCCGGCGCGAGTCATCTTCGTCTCCCTCCTCCATCTCCGAGCTCTCGCCCCGACCATCATCTCATTATCCCCAAGTCCTACTCCAGCACCTCCCGCGGTCCGCCCCGGCGCGCGCTCCTCCGCCCCCCGCCCCCGCACCGCCGCCCTCCGCCGCCGCTCCGGTTCCGACCCGAGAGGCTCCGCATTTCGCCGAAAGCCGCTGAATTCAACTCGCCCTTTATCCCCCCGGATGGCGACAGGCATGAACCCCGCGTCTTGCTCTCGCCCGCCTCGAAGTCCCTCAAGTTCTTGTCTGAAAAGCTGGTGATTTGTCTTCTGGGGTCGCTCGTTTTCGTGGGGTTTGTCCGTTCGAAGCCGAGCTTCGCGATACCTGCTCAGGCGAGCGAGTCGGGTCCCCAGACGGGTGAGGCCCAGAAGGAGGAAAGTGTAGAGGGGGAGGAGGAGGAGCGGGAGGAGGAGATGAGCGAGAGGCTCCTGGAGACGGACCCGACGAATGTGGAGGCGTTGAAGGTGGTCTTGTATGGGAAGATGAGGAGAGGGAAGACCAAGGAAGCTGTGAAGTATGTGCAGAGGTTGGTGGATGTGGAGCCGGACGAGGTTGAGTGGAGGCTTCTGCTTGCTCTGTTTCACGAGACACTGGGTCAGCTCAGCACTGCGAAGAGGCTGTTCAGGGAAATCTTGGAAGAGACGCCTCTTCTGCTCAGGGCCTTGCACGTATGATCCTTTCTTCGGACTCGTGCTTCTGTTATTCTGATCGGCTCATTTTAATTAGCTATGTTAGACAGAATCTTCGACGATTTTTACTTGAAGTGGTAGTAAGCTTATGCCCGGTTAGAAATCTGGCATAGCTAAAGATAAGTTGATGGATAGTGAAAAGAACGAACTTTGTACATATGACAAAGTGAAGGAAGGTGATTTGAATTGGGTGTTTGCATGATTCTAAACTTCGGCAGTTCTATAAGGGAGTTGGATGTAATGTATCTGGAGGTTTCGCATATGAAGATGTGACTTGATACGCCGGAATTCTCTTTCAATCGAGAATCTCTAAAGTCATGCTCATCGAAATGCTCTATGGCCTTTAGAGTCGGGAAGGGACTTTCTGCAGCTTCATTATTTATAATACGTTTGGACTTGTTTCGCGTCCTTACCATCATTTGGTACTTTTCATACATACATAATGTATACTGTCTTACAGTGACCCCCTTACTTTATTCTTCATTCCTCAATATGGATTTTGTAGAAGATCGAGCTTCCTTATAGTGCCATTTAGTTGTATTTAATTTCTTACTTGCACTTCAGTTTTCATCGACTATCTATCAGGGTCATATTTAACATGTTTTTCCTCTTTTTCTTTCCCTATAAAGAATAGTTAAGTGAATGCCAAAGTGCGTGTGCGAGGGCTAGTATTGATAAATCTGTGCCAAAGGGGAAAAATGACTTTCACTGCGGGTCATCAGCGTACTATGAATAAGCGGGTCAGCTTTAATATGTGTAAGTCCAATGTGAAAAGCTGCCCATAGGTGTACCTTTTCAGGTGCTAATCTATTGGTTGTTCTAAAGGCTTAGGTTAGTCTAATTCAAAGAACTGCCCATTCCCGTGCCAATTCGATGATGAGACAAGCACATAAAAGGATCTGAACTGCAGCTTTAATTTGGTTTTAGGCTTTTACCAACTCCTGGGCCATTCATTAGAAATCTCATTAGCTAATATAAAGAAAATCCACCACAGTATAAAGACTGAACGGATCATGCAGGTTTACAGTACAATGAATTGTTTCTTATGGAAAACAAAGACAAAAGAAAAAGAAAAATGAGAGAATGGTCAGACTAAAGCCCTAGAATTGTGGAGTTGGGAAAATGATTTAGTGAATGATCGCTGATTTATTTTACAATAATGTGTTATTGGTATCGTATTGCAAAATTTGTGTTGAAGCTTATGCTCTTTGTTTATTACAGGGCCTGGCCATGGCGATGCATAAGAACCAAGAAGGGCCGGCTGTCTTTGAGATGCTAAATGAGGCTCTTGAATTAGCCCGTCGGGAAAAAAGAGTCACTGAAGAGCGAAATATCAGGATTTTGATTGCTCAAATGCATGTCGTAGAGGTAGTTCATCTCTCCTACTTGCTACCATTACACTGTTAGTATTTTATATCCATACGTGCACTATTGGCTATCTCAAGCTAAATAGTCTGGTTGGAATAATTTCATTGCCATGTTCTCTGCATTTTGCTTGATTACAAAAACCAGATGACAGAAGGGAAGACCTTAACTCACTGAAACACAAATGGTGCCTCTACCCGCTAGTTGCCAGACTAGATAATAATTATGAGAGAGTAAAGGAAGGGAAGAGAATCTTGTACTAGCAAAACTCGCCACCTTTTTTTAAAGCAATTTATATTTGTGTTTGCAGGGGGACCTGAATGCGGGGTTGAAAGATTTTCAAGATCTAGTTAATGAAAATCCTCGAGATTTTCGGCCTTATCTTTGTCAGGTATGTAGCATGCTCTCTGCCAATTGAAATCAAATCATTACTTTGGTTCTCCTAGGCACGGCTTAACCATCCCTGAGATATGGGCATTCTGCTTCCTTGATCCATACAATCATACCTAAGGTTTCATGTAGCTGCTCAAAAAATTTCATACTTAATACGAGTACGGAATATGATGGAAATACTGATTGTCGTTACTTAATTATACTAATCTAGAATAGGTAAGTTCAACTATACTCTAGCCTCTTAACCCTAAAGTTTATTCCCATTATATGCAGGGGATAATATATAGTCTGTTGGACAAGAAGAAGGAAGCCCAAGAACAATTCGAGACGTATCGAAGCCTTGTACCCGAGGAATTTCCGCAAAGAGGATTTCTCGATGATGTCGTTTTGGCAGCAAAATCAACAACGTGGGAACAACTTCAGAAGGAGTTCAAAGCTGACGTTAGGAACTGAAAGATCAGCCGGTAGAATTTGACATTATCAGCACATATATTCGGTTACAAACATCAAACAGAGAGTTGAAATTAGCTTCCTTAGGGCAATATATAGAACTAGTCCACATCCAACTAAAATGGCCAGAGATTACATAAGGTTAAGGGAGTGGAAGCTAGGTTTTTCTTTTTCACTGAAAAAGAAACAAAAAATGCAAAGGTGGATTGGAACAATGCTGGTCATTGTAGTCTACTGTCAAAATTCCATGCATTGCCGCAACGGCTTTTATGGATGGAATACTACAGATTCTTCATTTTTTAAGGTCATGGACAATCAGAAGCTCATCATGATTGATAAGATGCAATCGTAGAGGTAGTAAGTTACTAGCTTTACCTCTGGTGTCACAGGAAGAAAATCACAAATTGGTGTGCCATATGTAGTGACCATAGGTTTAAGAGTTGTCGTCTATGGACAAGTGACAAGTAGAGTCTATATCAAAGTACTCTTTCAATCATTTACAAGAAACACACCACACAAAAACGTCATATATAATGACTTGGAGACATTCCAAATGTTACATATAACTTATTAAGGTGGCTTATACTAGAAACCCTGAAACTTAGACATCGTTTTTAATGGAGTTACTGTATCCACTTTGATCATCATAATACTTGGACCAGAGCATAACACCTCCATATTTTTCGGAACCTTTGATGGCTGGTAGTACTTTTGATGTGAGATCTGTTGCCGGTATGAAACCGCTTCCAGCTGCATCGGGCGAAGCGGGTAGACCCAGGAAAATCTTAGTGGCATGAATACTCGATGTCCATTGCTTCCATGCATCTTCCAGATTGCCGATGTCTCCCGAGGAGTACTGACATGGAGGGTTGTTGTAGAATTGGACCCAGACATAATCAAATAGACCGGTTTTGAGGGCCCCGCCGACCGACGCATCGGGGAAAGGGCATTGAGGAGCAGCAGTCAAGTAAACCTTCTTCCCGCGCTTGCTGTAACTCGAAAGGTACCTGGCAAGGTCATCCCAGTACAGGCCGGTCCCGCCTTCGATGTCGAAGTCGATTCCATCTAAGACTGCATTTCCCAATGGCCGAGAAGATGAACTTCCCCCCAAGAAGTTGTTCCAGAGGTAGGTCGCCAATTGTTGCGCATCGTTGGAGGATTCGAGAGAGTAGCCACCAGCCCCACCTCCAATCGAGAGCATCACTTTGATTCCCTTAGCCTGGCATGATTTGATGTCGGCGCTCAATGCGGTACAAGGGTGACTGTATGGATCATGAGTATACGGATCGCAGTGGCCGGCAAGGTTTATCATCGGAGTCCGACCAGCGCCGAAAGTCGCCAAGAAGGCTACATTCGCGAACTCATACTTTCCCGTGGCGCACGTCTCCGCCAAGGTTCCTTCGTTCCCATTCTGACCCCAATAGATAGAGATCCCTCCAGCATCGGACTCTACTGCTAGTGCGAGCACTACCGCCAATATGAGCGGACATACCACTACCACGCGATATTCCATTCTCGGTTAATTAGCTTGATTACTCTTCGCTCAATACTGAGAAATCAATTTGAGATCTGTAATCTTAAAATTTGCATGCAAAAATCAGTTGAGGAACCATCGTTTTTATAGTGGAAGTAGTGGCCAGTGTGAAAGAGGAGCTGTTTGGCTTTTGGTGTCAGATATTCAGAGCGTGCCTTGCTGGTCACTTGACCTCCATTTCTATCATGCTTTTCAAATTTTGAATATTGGCGATGATGACAAGAAAAGGTCATGTCTTGAAAGGCAAACCATCACAAATATGATCTTGCCTGAATGTTTTCATGTCTCTTAGCGTTTGTCCATGGCATCCGGGTCTGGAAGAACCGGAAAATGGCGTGCGTTCTCGAGTGTTTCTTGTCGTATGGTGAGTGACAGTGTTCTTTTTTTCAGCTGTATCCACCGTTTTCTTTTGTGCGTGCCTTGATGGTCATTTAGAGACTTAGAAATCCATTGGGCTACAATCAATTCACTCGTATTATAAGTGAATTTGGATACTTGATGATGACCATATTGGACACAAGGTGTATTTACAAAGCAAATCCAACTTTAAATCACAATTAATAGCAGCAAGGTGTAAAAACCGGCGTCCTAATCAAATCCGGGCTTTGCTTAGTATCTGTGGAAATTCAAGGAGAGGTTTTGTGAGCACAGAAAGTATGAGTTTGCAACTCTTCTTTTTTCCATGTGTGCTTTGGCTGATTGATAAGATCGTTGCATGGCGTTTGCACAAAGGAAGAAGTGAAGGAGAATCGAAAGGAAAACATGGAAAAGCATAGAAAAGAATATCTCCGAATCTCACGTCGGATGAAGAATAGTAAATGTTAAAGTTTATAAGAAGTACGTTCGACTGATGTTATTGTCGAGTCGACTAAAGTGAGTTTATAACCCAATGGGACATTAAAGTGATGGAATGTCGATAATGGGTTAGATCCGTGGATAGGCCAAGGCCCTCAATCATCCATACTAGTTTTACGTGCCCCGTCCCCGGGTGACAGGGACCTTGAAATTCAGCATGTGAAAATTTTAATATAGGCTCGGGAGATGACCCATCCAAGCATGTATTGTCTAGCCTACGTCAACTTACCACCAACTTCTGCTTCAATATTTGCAGTTCACATATTTCATGTTAGCTTTTTCATTGGAATTTAGAATCGATCGAGTAAATCTTGGTAAATGTCAAATAAAAGTTGGTAACTAAAAAGTAAGTGATAATTTCATAGAAGAAAAAGTTGGTAAACCTCTTAAACGAATGTTGATAATTTCTTATAAAATTGGTATTTTATTTGAGCTTTTGGTATTTTGAAAGCAATCAAATAAACAATTTAATTTAATGTAAGAATATCTAAGTTACTACCAAATCACAAAATATATTTACCGAAACGGAAAATTTTCGCGCTTTTTCCAAATTGTCCATGGCGGATTACCACGAGAAACACACTTTGCTCCTTCAATGTTGCACCTTCAAGTCAACACTACGTCGTTTGACCCTCCATCCTTTTACAGCCCACATGAGACTTTCTCCCAAGCGTAGCTACACATTAGCATATGATTATTAAAGAGAAGGAGAGTGGAGATAGCCATCATCATCGATCAATTTTTTGGACACCCACAACCTAATTCATCCCAACAAGTTTGTACTGATTGTGAAGATTTTGGTCAATTTGACATGGGTTATAAAAGTGCAGGGACAAAGTGATGCAAGAAATTTCAAGAACCAATGCTGGGAACTTCTTCCAGAGCTCACTCTATCATTAACCAGAATAAAGTGGCGAGACATCCTGCAGTTGTGAACCACCTTGTACCTTTAGGTTCAGCCAAGAACATGAAAGGACTTTTCTTAATATAAATTCACTCAGAAATCACAATTGTTGATCTTAAATGAAAGAATACTTCATTGTCAACCCCCTTCAGAAGGTACCTAATATGCCTAAATGCAACAAATACCGACTGCCCCTGCATAGTGGGAAAAAGTTACACCAGACGCCCCCCAGAAAAACGAAAGAAAACGCCAGTGAAGCTTCAATGAAATATGTCGGAGGAAAAAAAGGAGCTTCTCGAATTCCGCCGGACTCAGATACGAAAGAACATTAACACAATATGCTTGGATGCTCTTTCCAGAAGCTATCTTCAATGATATTTGAGTGGTCTACGATTATATTCTGTTTGACTTCTGTAGGCGTGACATTCTCGGGCATCATAGAGTCCTCTTCCTGCACATTGAGTGAATGTATAATCTTTGGGCAACAATTTTCGATGAAAATCCAAAGTTTATTGGCAGTTAGAAAGTCAACTTCGTCCAAGTACAAGTCTCATTCAACACTTTGACATTAATGGTGAAAGAGTTCAAATCTTTTAAGAGAAAATTTCGGAGTCATGAACAATGTGAATAGAGGCACGCTTCAAATGTGTAAGATCAAGCTAGCTCTTGCAGCCAGCATTTGTCACCAATTCTTGTCTCATCGGTTTTGCATAGATTAAAATAATATGCGATAACATAAATAAACAACAAACCTTCATGCGAAACACGGAGGAGCCCTGGCGGAACATTACAGGTAGTGTGTTGTAGTCAATGTTGAACTGTCTGATTAAAAGTTCATTCTTCTCTCGTGTTTGTGTGCCCTGAAAGTCAAAAACATAGGATGAAAAATTGCTAAAATATAAGGAAAATTCTCTCACAACTAAATGAATTTAGCATCATCATAGAAGGTGAAAAAAGTGGAGCTTGAAAATGCTTCTGCTTATACTTTCCTTTGGAGAGGGGGCCTGAGAAGAGAGTAATTATTACATGCTTCTGGAGCATTGCTCCTGATGCATTTCAACCACTGAATCTATGGAAAGATAATTAATGCATAACAGTCTCATACATCCAACCGCTGAGATGTACTACAACTCTACGAGCGATGCTCTTGAAGCACCCAATAAAAAAGTTTCGGTAGAAGAGAGAGAAATGAAGACTGAAAAATGGACCCAGACTCTTAGGTTGCGCATGACAACTTGCCAAATAGTGTTTGATTCTGTTCTTTGGTTCCCAGAATCAGTTTGGAAATAGAAATCCGTTTGTTTAATTTTTTGATTCTGGGCACAAATTTGCAAGAATTTGTGCCCAGAATCAGTTTTGGAGTAGAATCAAGAATAAAAAAAAAGTAACTTCTTGATTCTAGGAACAAAAATGAGAATCAGTTTTTTTTTCCTTCTTCTTTTTCTTGATTTTTAATATAGCTTCTAATGTCCGACGCGAGGGCCACCCTCGCCGTATCTGGCGAGATTAAAATACTTTAATAAAAAAATATTATTAATAAAAAAAATTTACCGGCCATGGCCAGCGACCAGGCCATGGCGAAAAAAATAAAAAAAATATTATTAATAAAAAAAATTTACCGGCCATGGCGAAAAAAATAAAAAAAATATTTTCAATAAAATTTTTTTTATTAAAATATTATTAATAAAAAAATATTTTACCGGCCATGGCCAGCGACCAGGCCATGGCAAAAAAAATAAAAAAAATAATTTCAATAAAAATATTTTTTTATTAAAATATTATTAATAAAAAAATATTTTACCGGCCATGGCCAGCGACCAGGCCATGGCGAAAAAAATAAAAAATATATTTTCAATAAAATTTTTTTTTATTAAAATATTATTAATAAAAATATTTTACCGGCCATGGCCAGCGACCAGGCCATGGCAAAAAAAAATAAAAAAAATAATTTCAATAAAAATATTTTACCAGCCATGGCCCAACGACCAAGCCATGGCGAAAAAAAAATAAAAAAATATTTTTTAGTAAAATATTTTTAAAAAAAATTATTAATAAAAAAATTATTTATAAGAAAAATTTTTACTGACCATGGCCAAGAAGGAGGAGAAGAAAAAAAGAAAAGAAAGAAAAGAAAGAAATATTAAATATTTAAAATGTTATTAAAATATTATTAATAAAAAGAAATTTTATGCCGTTACCAAACGCATTTCTGTTCTTTTACTATTTCAGGAATAAAAATTTTGAGCCGTTACCAAACGCATTTCTGTTCTTTTACTATTTCAGGAATAAAAATTTTGAGCCGTTACCAAACGCCTTGAAATACACAGAATCAGTTCCCGAGCACAGAATCAAAAAGAATCATTTCTGATCAGAATCTGCTCCCGGGCACAGAATGGTTGCCATGCGCAGCCTTAATAGAACAAGTCTGGAAGAACAAGTAGACAAGAAAACTGGATTCACATCAGATAAACTCCAAGTGGTTGAATCGAGAACAGTTCCATTATTCTTGTTTATTATGTGACAGCTTCTTGTACTAGATTACTTGCAGTGAATGTACGGAAAGTGGGGTGAGAGGCTAATGTACTAGTGTCTTGTAGAGCAAACTTTTCGAGTCCATGAAGACAGAAGAGGTCTTAAAACTATTCCTCTTTCTTTTGGCTTGTCAACTACCAGAAGAAGAAATGAACTTATGAGATGTTCAGACAGTTGATAAAGATGCAACCCTATACTTGGAACTTTTGTTACTTTCCAAAACACTCATATTTCTCTAGCTCAAAAAATTCCAGATCAAAGTAGCTGAAACAGCAGCGATAGAATGATAAAAAATTTGCATGCGGCCAATCTAACAAATATTAGCGTGGATATGCACAACATGTGATCGTGAGGAAGAGAGAGGACTGGAGAGTGCGTGCATGCTGACACATGGTTGGTGTGAGCGAGAGAAAGGGGGATTATGGAGAGAATGAAAATAAAACATCTACAGGTAGAAGAGCACCCAACTGAAATGCAGTTTCATAAAATAATAAGTTTTCCTATATGATAATATGCAGAAACTTTACATACATTTTCTTTTGCAATAACCACCACCAGTTCTCTTAATTAGCAGTACAGGTTATGAATTTACATTAATCAAAAGCAAGATGCAAACATTAGATTGCATATACAGAGCAAACCAAGCTGTTTGCACCAAAATTACATGATATGCACCAAATTGATGATAAATTAGACATGAAAACAAAAAGTAAGAGCACCACTAACATGGCATGGACCAGAGATATTAAGATACGTAAACAAACGGATTTCTATTGCTCATGGGCCCGAGATATAAGATACAATAGATGAAGGAGAAGCGAAAGACAGAGAAAACATGCTCTAGGACTAATAAAGTCTATCAATGCTGAGGCTTCTTCAGATAAGAGGTGGTCAAAAGCATCAATTATTTTTCTTCAAAAGAATTTAGCACCTTTAGATGACTCTGAGCTTCACTTTTACTCTTTCCTGACTTGACAAGCATCCAGAAACATGTGTTGTACTGATTGTTGATGTGGCCTACAAATTTGCAAAATACATTCACCATCTTCTCCAATTAAATAAATAGAATGGACCAAATGTATTTGACTGTACAAAATTCAAAACTATCTCTTCTTAGCCCAATACTCACAATCAACTTGTCTCCACGCCAGATAATCTCGAAGTATTTCAGTGGAAGGATAGCATACAGCGCGTCCATCAAAAGAAGGAGTATACTTCAACTCTTTAAATGGGAAAAAGTCTTTCCATTTCATCACATACGCTGAAGAGAAGAACGACACAATGACAGAAACTATTTGGCTGCAAACAAATGGAAGTGTATGAGGCAACATTTGATTGAATTACACAGCACAAAGCCAAAATTGCGAGCAAAGTCCATAAATCAACATTATGATGTCAAAATCTGGTACATTCTCAATTTTATATCTTCTTGCCACCTATTATGGTAGTCAACCGCTAACATTTCCTGAGAAAAACCGCACTCGAAAAGAAATGGGTATTTAAAAGAAATATCAATCCATTTGATGACCAACATCAGAGCATGAAAGGTTCTTAAATTCACATTCTAGAGGGAACAAACAGGTACGAACTTTCAATAAGCCACATATACAGCCCCCTTGAAAGTAGATGCAGTTCTCAGTTATTTGCCAACATCTTTAAATAGCTTTTTGTGACTTTAGCACAGAGCATCTTTCTTCAACTAACCATTAGAATCATTGGTTTCTGAAATGATTTGTAAAGAGAAAGGAGGAATTCTGAGAATAGTCCACCTCTCAAGAAAAACACCAGTAAAACATACTGTCTATTAATTGAAAGATCTCTAAAATTAATTTCTACTTCTGTGATCTAGAAACTTTTAGCTGAAAGTAATTGGTACTTTGCAGTACAGATGAGAAATATGTCTTCCAGATGTTATTTAAGGTCTCATATATTCTTCTAAATATTCAAAGTTCCAATAAGCATTGGCAGAATCAACAAAGACTGGGGACAAATTTGAAGAGGTACCTGGCCTGTCGCTGGTGAAGTTTAGAATCCTTACTCAAAACAAAGCTGGAGTGCGTAAACCCAAAGTGTCAGTACACCATCAAACGGTGCCCTAAACAATGAATTACAATTTGAAGTAGTAAGATACCTATACTCATCACTGACCCCATAAGAGAAGACAATATCTTTAAACTCTTCCAGAACTGCCACTGCACAGGAATTCATAAGGTTCAAAGCTTGCTGATCATTTGGCTTCTCAAACTCATGAACTTCCGAGAATCTACCAAAACCAAACCGAGAAAATTTCAAGTAAAAGCATAATTATAAGATGCCTCAGTTGTAACTTTGCACTTACATACCATTCACGTTGATGAGAATAACTTAAAGTCATAAGTCTCGAGATGAGCAGAGCATACAGAGACAATATAATTGACAATGACAGGTTAATCTATCCTAAAAACCAATTCTATAAGAACAAAAGTCCTATCCTTTTTATGTCCCCTCTTACCATCTGGATGTCCCCATTGTGTACCTATCAAGTGCCAAGATCTTTTCCTACCCGGAATTCCATCAAGAATCCTTTAGTTTGTAAGAATCAGTGGACGCGGAGAGGAGTTCTAAATCTTGAATGTCGAATGGATATCCTTTGTCACATGCTTGCTTCAAATAGTACACAAGATGAAAGAAAAGGAAAGAAAGTGCCGATCCCTCAAAAAATGAGCATTAGATCACCATCCCCTTCTAAAGCAATAAACATGTCCTTAAGTGTAATAATGATTGCAAATTTCTCCCATGACCATTTGACAGTCCTATTCAGGAAATCCTGGATGAGCTAAACATTGAATGGAATAATCTAATTTCGACATTAAAGGTCAAGGAGGTACTAGCCAACTACTATTACCTGTGGAAGTGGCAACCATCAATTCTGATCACAATCCAGGTAGATGGCATCAACTTGTTTTCAAACAGAAAGGATTTGATATATTCTGCTTTTATCTTCTTTATATCATTCTCAAACGGACCTAGTTCCGTCAAGAGGTATTGCTGTCCATTCCAAAAGTTTCGCCCAGCAATTTGTTCATTGTGGATCATCCTAGGCTTTCGCCGCATTCTTTTGATGGGAATTCCATGCTCATTGTGCTTCACTACGTCTTCTGCCTGAGCAATTTACACAGAGAATAGCAATGTGACATTTTTTTTCCTTTTTGCCAAGTTCAATTGACAAGTTAGAAGTTCTGTGCAACAACGAGCCAAAATTTAAAAGAAAAAAACACTTTCATTCCTATCAAATAGCGATTTAAAACACTATAGACAGATTCAGGGGTATTTCAAGCAAACAAAACCTAACAAAAGCACAACTGGTCAGGTCAATCCAAAAGTCCTAATACTTATTCCATGGCACAAGCAAGAATGTAGAATAATTACAGTAGAGAAGTTCCTCTGTATCATCCACATTAAATGACATTGCCTCTGGAAAACTCTGTGGTACCAAAGTTGCGTAAACTGATACAAAAAGTGCATATACATACAGCTTTGTTAAACCCTGAGTCGACTGGCTGGTTGAACACATTGAATCAGGAATAGGACCATGGTTGGGTCCACTTTTCATCAAATAACCAGAATGGTCAAGAACTGGTCATATTCGACATTGACCCAGCTTAAAAGTTAAACCTCGTGAACCAGTCAGCAATTTGGCAGGATCTTGGACTAGATCCTTGGCTTTTAAAAACATTGAGCAGGAGGCAGCAAGGGGAATTGAATCCCTGACCACTAGAATGCACATCTACTGCCAAAGCTGACTGAGGAGTCATCAACCCGGTGGTTCAACCGATTGAACCAGTTGACCCTTGAACTGGACGTGACACCGGTTCTTAACCGGTCTGGGTTTAAAAACAATGCATACATATGATCTCCCATAATGTGACTCTGTATATGCATATCTCTTAAACAGACCCAATAAAATACAATGAATTTTTCGCCCACGTGCACAGCAGGAGAATGCAGTATTTCTTTGCAACATAAAAATTTATTGATTCTAAGGGAAAAAATTTTGCTCACGTGCAGGATCTTGACAATCACACAAGTTGCATAATTTTTGGACTTTCAAAAATTTTCCCCACGGCAATCCTAAAACTTCTTACAAGATCACTCAGACAGTATAGCATGTCCTAATCTAAGAAGATACAACTGAGAGGAAACAAACCTGTGTCATAAAGATACATGACCCTTGACGAAACATTTCAGGAAGCATTCTGTAGTTGATCCCGAATTGCTGAAAAAGAAGCTCATTTTTCTCTTGTTTTTGGGTACCCTGAAAATATGGCAGATGAATTTAGCCAAACGAAAGTAGGAACCATTGCTTGGTATGGTTACGACATGATCAAAGCAGATGAAATAGGAACCAACACATAAAGAATATAGAGATTGGCACAGTAAGACTGAGCTACAGAAAGTTATACTTTTCATGAGTTTCAAATCAAGAAATAAAGAAAAAATAATTCAGATCAGATAACATGGTATTTAACAGATCAAGAGACAAAGCCCCACAGTTCTTCATTCAACATCCTTGTAAATGAATTCCACTCTAAATAACAATCCCAACAACAGCAAAGAACAAACCAGCTCTATTCTAAAAGAGAGAACATATGCATACATAGAGAAACACAAAGAACTAATAACCTCTAAAACTTCCACTGCTTCCTTGGCAGATTTTCCACTTTTAATCAGCATCCAGAGACAAGTATTGTGAAGGTTACGGATATGACCTGCAGAAAGACAGAACCGGCAATGACTTATCTGTTCCGCTAACTCACAAGTTGCCCTTCAATTACATTCCAACTGCTTAGATTTTACATACACAAAAACTATGAAATTGTGTCAGAGATGTTCAAAGGAGGTAGTATAATATAAAACCAAAAGCATTTAAAAAATTTTGGTTATTTGATTTTCCATATATAATAACTTCGGACTTACATACTTACATTCATTTTGTCTCCATGCAAGATATGCTTGAAGAACCTCTAATGAGGCACAACAAACAACACGTGCAAGAAAGGAAAGCGGACACTTCATTTCCTTATGAGGAAAGAACTCTTTCCATTTTGTGGCATAAACAGAAGAGAAGAAAGACACAATCAGCGACATTATTTTGCTGCAACCAAGATATGAGCAAGTTAGCTACATACACAACATTCAGGAAAAAAAAAGTAATTACAACCTCAATATCTGCGAAAACAACTTTTTATCCCCAAATATGTGGCATGAAGTCTTAAATTCTAAAAATATATTCTTCAGTCAATTCAATATGCCAAGTTACTGAAATGTTTTCTTAAATTGTTCAGTCACCACAGGATTGACGACTTTGGCACTATCCCAGTATTCCAACAATCAAATATTGCATCTAGCAACGACCAGAAAGAACTTTCATACACAGAAGAATTGAGTGTTCCACTTGAATCACCAAACTATTCTATTCCGAATCACTTCATCCCTTTACAGTCCGCTTAGCTAAGACTCTTTTCTATATTGAACTTGTTCTATAATGCAGCTCCACATAGTAGCGATCACTTTTGCAGCAATAGAATCAGCTGAATCAATTAAACAGATATCGATGTACTCAAAGAAGTAAGAAAAGAATATTAGTTACTTCCAGTTACTTTTTTTGTGTCCTTAACCCCCCACATACTTGCAAATGACATGGAGTCTTGAAAGTACCTGGCTCGCCTTTGGTAGAACTTCGTCTTCCTCTTGAAAACAAAACTGCAAGCCATATGAAAAACAAATACATCTAGTTTAACAACATTAATAACAATAATACAGAGATTCAGCAAAGCATGAAAGATAGAAGGAAACAGATAATAGCACCTGTACTCATCATTAAATCCATAAGAAAAAACTATATCAGGATACTCCTCCAACACAGCAGCAGCACAGGAGTTCATCAGAGCCAGTGCTTTCTCATCGTTAGCTTTTTCAAGATCATGGATGTCAGCAAACCTATTGTTGAAAAAGTCAAAAAAAAAAAAAAACATGAGTTGTTAAGCAAGATTAAGCAAAACAAACATTAAAGTCCTTCACTTTGAAGAGTTAGTGAGTGCTAGGCTTGGCTTCTGGCTTTTGAGGCTTTAGTTTTTACTTCTAATGTTAAAAGTGTGACCTTTTTCACATTAAACACACAAAATCTTATAAAAAATATAAATAGAATTATGATTGGTCGATACGTACCCGTCGAAATTGCATCCCTCGATTCGCACAACGATCAAATTCGGCAGCATCACCTCATCCTCCACTTCAAACGACTTCACGTACTCGTACTTGCTGTTTGCCATTCTCGCAAGCAAGGAATTTCTTCTCGACTACTCACACAGAACAATGAGCAAACACCTGGTGGGCATGAACAAGATAAAGCAATTCACACCACCAGCCGTACCTCGAGAAGATAAACCCAAGATCAAAACTTTAACCCACATGAGCAACACACATTGCCGTCATCAATTCTCGACCTAATAGTCCACATGCGATGCCTTATGAATTATGATACTTTCACATCAACAAACCCAAAACATATATGTAACTCTACCACTTAAAGTTGAGCACTAACATCCACACAACCATAGAGCGAGACAGGAGCGACCCACAAACCCAACAACAACAACAACAAGGAACAAAGTTACAGAACAAGGGACAAAACAGAACATCCAGGTGCTGAACTTTCACTTGGAGTTCGATTAAAAAGAATCGAGAGATACCCAAGTAAATTGTCGAACCCGTGACCCGAAAAGCCAGCAAATTCATTCACATGCGAGCACACAATTCCCAGGACTTCATGCTGGAGGTTGGGGGAGCATAGAGCGGCGAGAGAGAGACCGCAATGAAACGGAAGACGCTAAAGAATTGCAGCACAAAAGAGAGAGAAGTCTAAGCAGAAGGTCAAAGTCGTCGGAGACAGAAATTATTTCCTCCTATTTATTTTTTATGAGTTTACCATAATCACGACCTAATATTTCGTGCCATTTGGAATAACTTATTTTTGGCTACTTTTATTTAATATTAAACTTCTCCAATTTTTTGTAAACTTACACATGAGCATTTAAATTTTTGTTGCGAGTAGTGTAAAAAATTGTCGGGAATATTTAAAACTAATGTTTCCTTTTTTTGTTTGGGCAAGAAAGTTATTTGGATATCATTTTGCTTTCAAAAGCCAATCCAAAGAGGGCTTTAAGTTTACACTTTTTAAAATAGAAAGTAAAATTCGTCATTCAATTTGTATATGTAGATCGATCAGTCCAACTAAACTTAAACCGATAGATTAAAGCCTAATCAAACCGCCGAAAAGTTTTGAAACTTGATTACAATATCAATTATTCGATTTAGTTAGATTTTCATATCGATCCTATATATCATTGGGAGGGCTCATTCGTATTCTTTGAATAGGAATAAATATAAGAGCACTTTCACATTGAATGAGCCAAGATGAAAACAAAGAAATAGAGATTGAGAAGTTGACACGTGAAATTTAAAGTTCAAAAATGTCTCCAAAATGAAAAAAGAATTATCATGACCGACCGCCCTACTTCATTATAATCAACAATAATAAAGTTATTGATATAACCATAAATCAAAGGCGCAATTATCTCTCTTTTCTATTATTTTTGACTTGAGAAGTTGCGATCGTAGAATTAGAGAAGTCATGCAAAATTGAGCTCTAAATTGCTTCTATCTTGATCGGAAGTCATGCATGATTATGTAGTCATGAGATTTTGCCGCGGGTCTTGATGATCGAGAGCACCCCGCGACTAGACTTATAATATTCTTTTACCTTTTGATTTCTTTTCAAGAAATGAAAGATGGAAATAAATTGTTCAAAGATTGAAAAAAAAACTATACATAGTTCTACATCGCTGCATACACACTCCAAAAAAAATTACGAGAGCGCCCGCATAAGATTTAAATTGCGAGAGCGCCAGCAAAAAAAAAGAGGAAAAAAAAAGGTGAAATTGCATACTGAACAATTGCGCGATAAGTATTCTTCAAGAAATTCTGATGACAAAGATAGAATAATAGAAAAATAATAATAACATATAAAAGTAATTTTATTTTCAATTGTCTTGCTTCAAATTTTTGCGGTGGCGTATCTCGCTGGTACACTACGGGTTCTGCCGTATATTATACGCAGGTGTACCGTGCACGCTCATTCACCTGAGCAAATCCCAGCGAAATATATATATATGGAAAAGAGAGGAATTTCCGAAAAAGGAAATAAAAATGGAATTTTCTTTTTTAAGGACACCACAAAATGCTCAGATCAGATGACTCTCTGTGTATCTGTCTCTCTCTGTGTATCTGTCTCCTCTCTCTCTCTCTCTCTCTCTCGCTGGCAAGCTCGAGCTGCTGGTGATGGCCGGATCCTCCAGATCTGCGACGCGACCCTCGTGAGGTGATTCTGTGTGCTTCCTTTTGATACAGTTCATGTTCTGTTTGTGAATTCGATGGGTGTGGAGCTTAAAGTTCTCGGCTTGTTTAGGATAAAAAAATTCGTTCGTTTTTTGGTAGCGATCGAAGTTCCGGCTCTGTTGTGAATTCGATTTAGCTGCGAATTTTGATTCGGGGGCGATTGGTTTGGTACTGTCCGTGGGTGTTTCGATTTGGGTGGTTGACAGTATGGATGAACATTCGCAAAAGAGGAAGCTTCGGGACATTGATTGCGAGCAGTCCTCTTCGGGCGATCCGATTCTTTGCGCTGGTAATTGCGGTTTCTTCGGGAATCCCAGTACCAATAACCTTTGCTCTAGATGTTACTACCAGTATCTGCTGAAGAAACCGAAGGGTGCTATGGATTCGACAGCTGCGTCGGAAGGAGCTGGAGCTGCTGGCGGCGGTGTCGATGTAGTGGATGGTTGTAGTTGTGACGACGAGGAGGCACCGGCCGAAGCTGTAGCTAACCAGGCAGTGGCAGCAGCTGTTTCGGAGAATCAGGAGACAAGGGCTGTGGATCATTCTGGCCAGCCTTCTTCGAGCAATCCGGTTCTTTGTGCAAATAATTGTGGGTTCTTCGGGAATCCTACCACCAATGACCTTTGCTCCAAATGTTACTGCGAGTATCTTTTGAAGCAATCGAAAGAGGCTAGTGGTTCCGCTGCTGCAGCAGAAGAGGTCAAGGATGATGGGGCTGCGGATGATTCTAGTTATGCCGAGGAGGCACCGGTGGAAGCCGTGCCTAATCGAGTGGAAGAGGTGGCAGCATTAGAGAATCAGCAGACGAGGCCCGTGAATCGTTGCGGTTTCTGTAGGAAGCGGGTTGGCCTGACAGGTTTCAAGTGCAAGTGTGGGGAGATGTTTTGCTCCGTCCATCGATATTCTGATAAGCACGACTGCATGTTTAATTACAAGAGCGCAGGCAGAGATGCTATCGCTAAGGCGAACCCTGTTGTGAAGGCCGATAAGATTGAGAAGATATAACGGGCATGGCAAGTTATTGCAGTGCCATTAAGTGACATAGTTGCTGCCTCCCGTGTGAGTTGAAGTCGATTTAGCCAACACATTAGGAATTGAAGTCTATTTAATTTATGCATTAGGAAATAAGATATTATGTTCGCGAGTATTTTCATGTCTTATGTATATAGTTTTGTTTGTGTTCTTGATGTCATAATGTATCCACTGGATAATTTCGTTCCAAGTTTATGCGGTAGTGTTCTTTTCGTAATTTTAGCTCATGGTTTGCCAAGTTGTGAGTCTGCAAATTCTTTTGATACAACCTTTTCAGGAGATTTAGATTGTTATAATACATTTAGTGCAACCTTGGGAAGGATTGGGGGAGATTGTAGAATTCTTGAATTAACTGAAGTGTGTATGTCCATTCGAGTAAACCGAACTTTTTTAGCTAACAGCAGCTTGCTAAATGTACTCCACCATACTTTTTCTTCTTTTCCATGAAGTCCGCCAAAGTTACGTGATTGCAATCTATGGATTTTTTCCAAGAAAAATAATGTGGTTCACATTGTGAGGAAGCTGGTGCTTTTAAGTATGATCTCTCTAGATATTCTTTTTTCCCGTTTGAAGCATGCTTACTATAGTCAGCTATTAAAGGTCAGTTGTAACTAAAAGCATTGGGCTAGTAGTTTAGATGTTTTTGCTGCTTGAGCTGTGAAAGATTACTGAATTGCAGAGGAAGTTGCTTTGCTGTGGCATATGAGCCTACTCCTTATTATAGGGCCTTCTCGCGGTAGCAGCTTATTATTTGGTCTAATTTTGGGTTGAGTGGGTCACCTGCAGGGTTTCGTTGACTGCGGGATATCATTCTTTATTCTTATTACCTTTCCTTTTCTTTGACACAGTAGGTTGTGCATACTAGATTGAATTGCTTTCTGCATGTGTCTACCTAGCTTGTCTCCATTGTGTTCCGAAACCGATGTGAATGTAGGAAACAGGGATCTTCATTCAGGGTCCTTACATGATAAGTAGAATTGGTTTCTTCTTCTGTAGCACTTCAGAATGACTTAGATTTGCTCTCTAGTCCCTTGTAAGGGTTATGGGCCTTCTCTTCTAGATTTTCCATTGTATTCTTTGAGTGTGCTCGTGTGTGAGTTTTGGGAAAATCAATCCACTTCAAGATGTTCAGTTCTTGTTTACTGTGTTTCGTGCATTTAAAAAAAAGGTCATGATCATTGTGCAAGGACCAAGAGTCGGGAGCCTGAGTCATTGGGTGCAAGTTGGTGGACGATAATTTGTTGCCTGCCTTTTTCGTTGGAACCCCCAAAAGGAGACCTTTTTCAGGTGTTTCTTGCAGATTTTTAGTAGGAAACGTTAAATGATGCTTTATCAATCACAGTGCATGAACGTTATATGCTTTATTAGTCTCCAATATCAACCAGGTAGAGTCAGGACAGAAGTGGTTGAACTGCAAATGTTGGATTATGCGGCCAAGAATGAGGTTCAATTGATTTATATGACGTGAATGATGCGTTTGAATGTCGCTTTTAGAGGTTTAGATGAAACCAAACCTGACTTATGATGATTTGGTACACAGGCTTGTCTGTGGTGCTCCGGTGCTCATAGTCAGCTTATATCTTGTGGAAAACTAATTAGAAGTTCGTTCATCGCTCTTCCATAACCAAGCGCTTTGTGGTTTAGGCACTGTCTTGGATGTAAATTTACGAATATTTGTGACCGAACTGAAACAGCTCTAGTAATATAGTACGAGCGATTTGACATTCTTTGTTGGTTGAAGACAAAAATAGTAGCGTTATACAATGAATACTAATGAGGAACACCATATCCGGGGGCATTACAAGCTTTTCTTTTGTTGAGTTCTGATTAATGTCTAGCACCTGGTAGCTACAGCAAATGTTTGGCTTCAAACGTGAGGTGTCTGGTCGTCTGCAATAATGAAAGTTAAGATAGAATTGGCTGAGAAATCCTAAAGATCTTTGGGAAAACACCACCAAAAATCCCAAACTATGCCACTTGTGATAAATTTATCCTGAACTCTTTTTTGTGACGCGAAAAACCCCAAATTATGTCACTTGTGACACATTTACCCCACAATACATTTATCCATGGGCATTTTCGTCTTTTTTTCTGTTTTTTTTTTCCTTTTTTTTTTCTTCTCTCTTCCCCTCCGCCGTGCCCGACGCCGGCAAGGGTCGCCCTCGCCGGACCTCTGCCGACCACTGCGAAGGGGAAGAGAGAAGAAAAAAAAAAGGAAAAAAAAATAGAAAAAAGAAAAAGATGAAAATGCCCATGGACAAATGTATTGTGGGGTAAATGTGTCACAAGTGGTATAGTTTGAGGTTTTTCACGTCACAAAAAAAAGTTCGGTGTAAATTTGTCACAAGTGGCATAGTTTGGGATTTTTGGTGATTTTTTCCCAAGATCTTTTACACCGTGTTTGGAAAATGTACATATGTGATAAAATTACTCAGAATAAATTTTGGTCTCTCAAATTTGACATCTCACATGTTCGAATCTGGAACAATGTGAAGATGGTAGACAATTAAATTGCCTAGCTCATCGACGTCCATCAGCCATAATCAATGGTTTCGGCAGCATATTATTTCTGTCACACTTAGCCAACCATGTCACATTTCCGCGACCGATGACTAGAAATGGTTACAAAGTTATGCAAGCATTGGTTCAAGGCAGATTATGGCCCATAGGAAGTGAGAGCAATGAATGTAAACAAGCTATGCATCAGTCAAGAAACGTTCTGTTTTTCCTTTTTCCCTTTTGATATTCACTATTTGGTAAAGCTAAAGCATTCATTGTCGAAACCCGCATAAGCGACCTAAGGACATATTAAGCAGTTGCACCAAGTCAACGGGGGCAACTTTCCCTTAACACTTCTCTATCTTCCACTACAGGCTAGTTGATGCAGATTTCTGGGCAAACCTCGTGTGGATAACGAAGCATGAAGACCGGAACTGTTCAACATGAACGATTTTGACCACAATGTGAGTGCCAAACTGACTTTCAGCTAGTTGGATCTTTCTTGGGATGTGGAGGCGGAGGAGGATGTCTTTTAGAAAGGAACCGCTTAGTGCTCTCTAGGACGCCAAAGAATATCGACCCACCAATGCCGATCCATAGTACCCTCGGCTCAATTCCCTGAATTATACAGAACTCAGAGTGGAGTGAACATAACGAAAAAGCAAAAGGTTATCCGACGACCTACAAAATACCATGCGTTCTGCAGTTCTTGAGATAACAATGTCGATAACTACAACAGCGATCAAGTTTTCTCCCTGCTAAGTGAATTCTACTACATGGACGCTTGTATGAGGCTATGCCATTGTGCTATCTCATACTAAATCCTGACATTGAGCTTTTTCTTCAAATAATCTGGGGTCATTAGCATATCCATCATAGTGTCGCATCTTCTATTATGTTATCCTCACTCGACGCCATGCAAACTTTTCCTCAGTAATTATGTCTTTTTTCAGGGTTAGCAAATTCGTTGGAGCATTCATCGCTGGAACATTCACTTCGAAACAACTCCACCCAGGAAAAAATATTCAAGCTGTGAAAGCATTGCATGACAAGTGCCTAGGAGTTGCAGTTTGGTGCAAGATACGCGTGAAATATGGAGCAGGTTTCACTGTGTACCGATTATATCAAGAAACTGTTTGCACGTCGTACATTTACAACTCGGTAAAAAGTCAACATATTGTGTTTAAGCACTAATTCTACCAAACAAAAGTCCTACTTTCCATTTTAAACTGATTCTTTGAGAATTGAGAACTCATTGCCTTTCATTTATAATATGGGGCAGAAAACAGAGTAGAGTGGAAACACACTAACCATAGAGAAACAAGAGAAAAAGAGATGGTCTCAGAACTCAACATCAAGCTCAAAAATGTGCGCACGAGAGAGAGAGAGAAGAGAGAGAGAGAGAGAGAGAGAGAGAGAGAGAGAGAGAGATACCTTGAGAAGAGCTGACGGACCCTCTTCCCTCACAATAGTTTGAACACAATCAAATATCCCTTGGTACTGGTTTGCTGGTCCCTGCATGGATCAGAGCGAACCACTCGATAAACATCCCCAAATATGAACTTCAGGTAGCCACTAATAGCATAAACTCTCAAGAGGAGAAAACTAAATAAGATCGTGACTAAGGTGGATGTCAGAGGCAGCTTCTTAGTACCTGAGTCATTAGCCTCGTCTTGATTACATCAAGTGGAGTGGTTATTGCTCCAGTCAGTGCCCCTGCAAATCATAACATTATACCTAAAGAATGGTATAAATAGTTATCATGCATATCTGAGTAGTTCATACACTCCACTCCAACAAAGTTGATGGAAGTCTCAAGGCATGAAACTTCCTACCATGGGACAAGAACTTAATTCTTTCAGAATTTTCCCGGGTATTATAACTATGCATGTGAGAAACTGAGCAGTTAACTAAGGGAAAAAGACTAGGGCCTCTAAATTCTCAGATCTTACATATTAATATAAGCATTAAGCATAGTTTAAAATTGGCAAAAGGACACTATAAGTGCCATAACTTGTGTACGGAGATCACTTTGGTGCCATAACTTTTTTTCGGATCACTTTGGTGCCAAGTCGGAGGAAAACGATCACTTAAGTTGTCATAGTTTTTTTGATCACTTGCTAAAATTTTTGAAAAACGATCATTTAAGTGCTAAAATTTTTAAAAACGATCACTTAAGTGCCAATCTCCGCGAGCCACGCGCTTCGAAATTAATAAAAAAATGCCACGTCGGATTTCCGGCGAAAAATTGTGTACGGCACCGGAGTTGGCACTTAAGTGATCGTTTTTCAAAAATTTTAGCACTTAAGTGATCGTTTTCAAAAATTTTAGCACTAAAGTGATCCAAAAAAACTTATGGCACCAAAGTGAGCGCCGTACACAAGTTATAGCACTTATAGTGTTCTTTTGCCGTTTAAAATTGGTGAACACCTAAAATATATTGTTCAAAGAAGTTTAAGGGTGTGTAAATATCAACAACAAACAACCATCAGATTAAACTGCGTTAGAGAGACAATACTAGGCAGATAAAGCAAAAGGCATCAACTTTAGCTACTTTAGTGGCTCAGCAAGTGACTCAAGATATGCGACTATTCTAAATGCAGTATAACAATATCAACCACCAACTTTAATGCAATGAGTGGTGTCAGCTCGAATTTACTAAGACATTTTCCTAATGTAGCAGATAAGGCAAGACTGTTTGCCTGTTTAGACCAGTGTAAGAAAGCTGTGGAAACAAGAACATAATCATGCCACAGAGGAATTATTTAGGCAATTCACGGAACAATTCTCTTCAATTTTGATGGAACCATTTGTTGCAGTGTGCCACAAGATTTCATGTAACATGACCATACCCGATCATATTGTTTTAATTGGCAAATGGCCCCGATTGAGAGCCTTTGAAGACAATGTATATAAAAAGAGCACACAAAAATCACACCTGCGATGCTAATTTTAGAAATAAAGTCTGGAACCAAAACATGCACTAACCTTTATCCCATGGCAAATTATGCATCTAATAGCTGCCATATTATCTCTGTTATTCAAAGATAGGAGGTTACGGGTCATAAATAAGTTGTAGAGCGGATAGCAACACGTGTAGGTTTAGGGAGCAGGTTGCTCATGAGTCTATACTGCGGGTTTATTGAACTAACTAAAGGTAAAACCAACGCAGGCAATCGGAACTTTTTGGTGAAATCTTCGCCTATGGATGAAAATAAAATAAAATAGTGTACACCAGACTACCTCTTCAGTCTTCGGCAGTTCTGGTTCCCCTTTTGAATTGAACTTTCCCATTTTATATGAATGAAGTGATTGCGAAAAAAGCTCATTGATGCAGTACAGAATCAATGAACCATACTCGGCAGAATCAACAGCGACGAGTAAAATAGTTAAAAACAAATATAGCACCAACATCTGCAAAAGCACCAATAAGTACCTGCAAAAGCTCCAATTATGGCATTCTCTGGATCATTCAGTTCTCTACGTGCCTGTTTGGGAGACAATTAAAGAATCCTTAATCTCTTTTGATAGGCAAGAACCACAAAAGCAAACACGCATGACAACATGACTTTGCAAACGTGCTTCCTCCAAACAATGCAAACGCCATATTTAATCTGTTCAAAAGGTGGTTCCATAGTGAAAAAAGTCTCCTGAAGAAAACAGACGTCTACTCCATGAACAAAACTAAAGGCACGTATACTGGGGGTGCTAAATATAGGTTCAAAAGACCTTTCAACAGTCAACACTTTACATTGTTAAAAAGACATAAGTCTAGATGCTTACTGCTGCTTTATAACCAAGCCGAAGTTGCTCATAGATGCAGAATTGGATTGCATCAAATGGCAAATCCCGCAACAAGAATGATCCATAACCCTAGGTAAAATAAGATCAAAACATATGCTGAGTGAAACTGATACTAAGAAAGCGCTGATGTGTAGGTTTTTTTGGCCACAGCGCTTATATGTATGTGAAACACAAGAAAACATAGGCCTAAAACTCATAAAAAGAAGATCCCAACATTAAACTTAATCTCAAAATAGCAATTTCTTTTTTTTCACTCTTTTTCCCCATACCGCATAAAGACCTTTAAAACCTTCTTTAGAGACAATAAGGCGGACAGCATCAGGGGCGGAATTAAACTGCCTGGTTTGCATTCTTTGCTTAACAACCTGGAAAGTGTTCAGATACAAAGCAAGTTGGTATTCTTCGGATGAAAGAAAAAGAAACAATATGGAAAAATTTGTGCCGATAGAAGAACTCGACCTCTGTCGGAACACGAATAAGAGAAGCAGCCACTCCCCCTAAGGCACCAGCAGTCTACAAGATGCTCAATAAACTTCAAGAAAGTCAATATTCTTAAAAGGCAGCAGATTTAGACCAGCAACATGAGTGGTATGTGATTTCTATCACATAGCAAAAACAAGAGGAAAGAAAATCATGATATAAATGGCATGCCTACTTGAGACATGATCCTACTTATACTAATGATCTTACCATGCATCAAATTAGCCATCCTTAGCCAAACTAGAACTTATCTTGACCAAAAGCTTTACCATTGAGCTACATTATTTAACTTTTTATAATGCACGGGATCATACAAAAGTGTGCTACATTTTCCACAGTTAGGTGTTAATTTGCTCGACTTGTAGAATGCATTGATCCTCAATCCAGTACTATGATACAATAAGTAAACACCCATCAAGTTCTACTCAGGAACTCATTTTGAAGAACCTTGATTGCTAGTTGGATAACAAAATTTATCGATATCACAAATTAAATAATTATGTCAACTTTTGCTACATCACCGTATCTCTCTTCAATCATATACAAATAAATCAGTTTAGTTCAATTTAATTCACATGTTGCTTTACCAGAGAAAGCATTCACCAGAGGAAGTACTTAAGGATTCCTTACCAAATGAGCAAGAGCGCTGAGATTCTCAGGAAACATCCTTAGCAGTTTCTGTTTTGCGGGCTCATAAACACCGACAAATAGAGCAGAAGCCCTGAGAAGAGATGACTGCTGTCATGTAACTAATAAGACCATTCGCCGTTTAGCAAGAAAAACATATCGAAGAACTGATCCACAAAGAATATGACAGATGCATGATTTATTTCAAGTATTTCTATCCGGGTAGAATGTCCCAATTGTATTACATAATCTTCTTCCCGAAAGAAAAGTAGGAAATTTGATAATGTAAGGGAAAGAATGGCTGTACAGTTTCAAGATCTTTTCACCTAGCAGAAAAAACCTAAAGCTGCGCACATGAGTAGTTGATTCACATATAATTTCTATCCACTGAATAAGTTTTGCATTTTAAAAAGGAGCTTACGGTAATACACCAGCAAGATTTCCAGCCAACCCAGAATATAAGCCATTAAAATTAATTTTTCCCCCGCCGCGAGCTGCCTACACTAAATCAAAAGGTATCAGCAACTTCATGATGATATTTGAGCAAAATAGGAAAATTTCACCAATTGATGCAATTTGGATAAATGCTAAGAACAGGATTATTCATTTCCATGCAGTTTATGTATGGTGTCAGTGACTTCACTCTTGATGCTGTTTCGGCTTTTAATGGGTTCATAAATAGAAGGAAAACCACCACCAGTCCACGGGTACTTCAACAGCTAAAGGACCGATAAGGGCTTACTGAATAATTGTCCCAATGGAAGATGGTTACTCGAGTAACGACCAAGAGGGTTCAATACTACCTTAGAGAACAGAAAAAGCTCATCGCGGTATGAGAAAGAACTTAACAGACTTCAACATCTAAATTGTCAAAGAGAAATCTCTCAGTGATAGTTTTGTAAAGACCAAAAAGAACAAAAAAAGAGGGAGTCAGATGATGAGATGATCCTAGATATAAAAATTGAGAAACTGCAGTTCCCACATGTTAGCATCCAAAGCTGGAAATAATATCTGATTTTGGATGAAAGTACCACCAGAGTCTGCAAATATTATTCTCTTTTTGTCTCTCAAGGAAGAATTGGTTTTAAAGGCTTTTGAGGGTATATCCGTATCGATGCTTGACATCGTTGGAGAACTGTGCTCCATACTATACAATCCTTTACTTCATTTTCATTTTATACAAGAGGATTTGTTATGCTTATCCTCCTCATTTTCTGTTTTTTTTTTCTTCTCAAACTTCTCGTGACATCAGTGTATTCGTTCTTCGTTGCATAAACAATACCAAGGTAACCTGCCTGCAGCCTCGTTTTTATTGTGTCGATGGGGTATAAAGCTGTTTCAACAACAACACCAGCAGTACCTCCTGCCATAACTCCATCTGCGGATTGCAGCATACATATGAGAAGAGATCATACCATGTTCTATCAAACGCAACAACAGATGCAGAACAAGCGCTGAAACAAAAGGGAAAAAGCAGTGTCTCCAAGAAACAAACAGAGGAAACAAAAGCCAGGTTCCAAAAAATCTGAGAATGAACCATATCAGATGGCTCATCTTATCATATCCTTTCCCAGCTAAGTATCGCCATGATTATTTCCCATTCTCCTGCCCCGGACTATGGGAAGAAAATCACCAACCATGATGGACTTCCGCTCCCTCCCCGTATGCTTAATGCTAGTCTTTCATCAGCATTCCCTCTATGCTTTTGTGGATACAATGTTATTTATACAGACCTTGCTTCCGATGCAAATGATCTCTGAATTGGATATAACTTGGAGACAGGATAATTTCTAAGTCAACTCAAGTAAATGGAGCTCAGAAATGTAAGTCACTAAATGATAGCCCAAGATACAGTCACTGGAAGCATACTTAGCTTTATAAGTACTTTTGGCTTACCAAAAAAAGTACGAAAAAAGTCTAAGGGTTTTTCTTCTCCTGTGCCAAAGAACTTTGTCGCTTCCTGATGCAAGTTCTGAGGTTTCATCATGAGCAGATCTGCCGAGAATATCAATTGTTTCACAAGATAAGCAACAGAATATCAAAAAATAAGTACAGAAAAACAGAATACATCACGCCACATCAGTTGGGAAATTACTATAAAACAAGATCACATTCTTTTCTAAATCTGCATCAGCAACAACAACATTTAAAGAGAAAAAAATGGTCACACTTATGCACCCACCAACAATAAGCAAAATTAAAAAAATCTCCACTCAACACAGTCAACCAACAACAACCAAATTGGCAGAGCAGTCAAAGCAAAATGTTTCGGTCCTCTTTGTTGTCTTATTTCTCCAGCAAAGATATATACAAATTCGGATCCAAATGGGTTGATCCCATGGGATCTATTATTAAATGACAACCTATCTCACGATACAGAAATTAAAACAAGTTCGTTTCTTTGGGCGATTCCCTGCATTTCCATGTGCTGAATATCACAGAAAGCAAGTGCAAAACCACCAGATACATAAAAAAGCGAAGAACAAATCTGATGAATTCACCTAAAGGAGCTTGCGAAGCTCTCTTCGTGTCGAATACCAGCGCCAAAGGACCCATCATCCACTGACCACAACTCGACTGCACAAAACAATCACCATCAGTCACCTAGAGATACCCTGAAAAAAAACAAAACCCACCAAGCTGATCCCACGCCACAATTCATTACAATTCAAGTTCAAGAAAACTTTTGGACGAGACGGGGAGGAAAAACTGGAGAACTGCGACCTCGGAAAGAGGAAAGATATCGCGTTATATACAGCGAAGAAACGTAGGAGAAAATGCCGAAAATGGAATGCGGGATGCGTGAACATGGGCGTACAACGTTGCTGTCGGAAGTAGAGAGGGAGGGAGAAGTCGAAGGGTGTTGTTGTCTTCGGAGCCGTCGAGGGAAGAAGAGATAGACCGTTTCTTGTCCGGACTGTGCGCGACCGGTTGCGGTGGCAGAGAAACGGCGCTACAGCGTGAGCTTGGGAGGTATGGCATTTTGGTTATTATCATATGCCATGTATATATTCCTTTCATTATTATTATTATTATTATTTGGCCTGCCTATTTTTCTAATTTTGTTAAGAAATCCTTGGTGGTGGTCATCGAGGTTACGTCACTGAAGCCTAAGCTTCCGATTGGAGTCGTCCCGCTTGTCGAAGTATACATATCTGGCGAACTGATAGAACCGCGTTCTTTATTTTGATGTGCCGATATCCGTACGTCCAACCCCTCCATTAAAAAGAAATCTTTTTGCCCTTTTTAGGAAATACCCCGAGTTTTACATGCCAGAATTCAAACAAAATAGTTTAAAGACTTCGATTACCATCATGTGAGAGAAGATTGTAGAGCATATGAAAATGGAAAGTCAACGGTCCAAATGAGAGCACTTATCAGTGGTTGTTTTCGTGGGTTCTTCTTCTTCTTGTTCGTGGCGAGGTTCCTCGGGCGCTTGATCGCCGGCGCGACTGGCCTCGCTAGATCCGGCGACCTCGAGCCTTGCCGAGGTCGCCGACATCAGCGAGCTCCGGCGACCTTGGTGAGGCTCGAGCCTTCGGCAATCGGAGGTCGGGCTCGCGCCTCGCGGATCAGCGAGGCTCGACCTCGCGATCGCGAGCTCGAGCCTCAGGCTGGGCGATGCTCGAGCTCGCCTCCGGCCGTCGCGGCCGCCGCGCGCCGTTCGGTGACCTACGGGAGAAGCAAAAGAAAAAGAAAAAAAAGAAAATATTAAAAATATTAAAAGTATTGCAAGAAGGAAAATCATTTCTATCAACAACGGAAAATATTTTCCGAGGCTTTTTGATTTTAGGAACACGAAAATTGTGTTCAGAAAACATTTTTCGGGAAAATGACTTGGAAAATATTTTTCAAAGGAGAATATTTTAAAACGAACGGCAAGTACTTTCTTTTATCTATCTTTTTATCATCATTGCGATCTCCTCCAGAGTAAGAGGTTAAATTGCTTCATCTTAAGTTTCATACGGACCTCGATATCCTTCAGACGTTAAGTAATTAGAGCGTATTCCCTCCCCTTAGAAAAAATGAAAATGCAAGAGAGACAAGGAGGACTGAGCGTGAGGACATCGACACATTAAAATAAGGAAATGCAGTCTTGTTAACACGCCAGGGTTACCTGGACAGGTGGGGATGGGCTGAGTCGGTTGTTTCAGCAACCTATTCTATGGTGATGAAACACCTTAACCGTCCAAGGATCCATGGAGTACGCTGACTAAGTACTTTATTTTATTTGTCTTTTATCATCATTTTTATTGTTAGTTTATCTTATATATGTGTGTGTGGGTTTTGTACCATAAATAAGGTAATTTTTAAGAGGACCTTCCAAGGCCTATTTATATTATTAGCTGTTTTATGAAAATCATAGGATGACATTATTTCCACACCCATTTTGACAAAAAAAAAAAACACACCTTGTTTAGGCAATTGACTCATATACCTTAGATTTTGTCAAATGTATGTTGATGAGACTCTTTTTCTCTCGTTCCAAATTTATGAGCAATCGTTTTCCCATTTATATCTTATTTATAATGTTTCCTTTTTTTTTTCTTTTCCGTATGGGAAGAAGTAGACATATCTTTTTCCTTCATAATGGGAACAAAAATTAATCGAAATACGAAAAAAAAAAAGGGTTATTTTGCCAGAGGCATGGTCATATGCAAAACATGCCTATCTTTAGATCTTAATGATAGATAAACACAAAAAGGAAAGAAAAAGGAACTTCTTATTGTTCTACTTCTATCATGACAAAAATGATTTATATCAATCGTAGATTTAATATCATAGCAAGTGAATCAAAAAGTTTAAGAAATACTCATAAGTTTCCTAAATTAAAAAAAAAGTGAAAAGATCAAAACAAGGCACAAATGAGTGATCTTTAATTACATGAACCTACTAATTTAGTCAGGCAAAAAACCCACAAGTTCGAGATCGGTCAGACTAAAATTTAATTTTCAACTTTGGAATATAGTATACTCCGAACTATTTCAATAAAAAATATGCAATTAATTGAATATTCATAAGCCATCGTAAATAAAATGTACACTATTCTATATATGTTTAGTGATTCGAAAGACGAGACTATGAATAAAAGTTAACAACCTTATATAAGCATAGTGATAGGAGGATGGAGGAATAAGATGATATATTTTTGGGAGCAATGGTGGCATTTATATTTTTAAATTGTTGAAAGAGACGGTAGAAATAAGACTAGTTTTCTTTGAACATGGTGCAAAAAAGACAATATATCAATTAGCGAGAGGAGGTATTTTGGCCTGGTTAACTAAAATAAACTGGAATAGATATAACCTTACCCAAACTCGGATCATATTATAATTCAATAAAGCTTTAATGAATTTTTCAATGACCAGATAAATTTAATGAGGTACATGTTACCCTTTAAAATCAATACAAGATTACATTGCAAGTTAGACTCTTAGAAATTCTCAACCTAAAACCATTTTATCTGCATTGTTTTTTTTTTTTGGAACGGAATCTGCATTGTCATTAAATGAACTTAATGTCTTTTCTAGACTCTTCACTTTCGATTGAGGAAGATCAAGAGCTCTCTATCCCTTCATATAATATTTACTATGATTTTGAGAACCACTTAATTGAGTATTGCATCGACTTCTTTGCAAGAGCATGATAGAAGGTTTTTTTTTTTTTGGTCAGCAAACATTATATCTTATACTCATTCAAGTAAAAGTTTGCGACAATATACAGGCTTCAGAACAAAGCAATTCCAAAAGACAAGTAGGGGGATAAGCGACCCAATTAACCGGTAAATATTTATTACGGTGGGCTTTGGCGACCCAATCCTCAACTTGATTACTTTCTCTTCGGCAATGGGTCATCTTTAAATTGCTGAATAACTTTGCCCGAGCCTGGGCTTCGGTGATCAATGCATAAGCTTCCCAACTCACTTGATGTGCTCTCTCGCTCATCATCTCCACCAGATCAGTTCGATCTGTCTCTAACACGATCTTCAGTTCATTTTTTGCTTCAAAATGTTTTAGGGCTTCAAGTACAGCAGTGGCCTCCGCCTGAATCGCGCCGACGAGACTGTTACCGATCGAGCAAACCCATCTATCAAGATACCCCGGCTGTCTCGACATACACATGCAATGGCCCCTTCCCCTGTTTCGGCAACAAAAGACCCATCTACGTTAATTTTAATCACCCCGGGAGGAGGAGGGGTCCAAATCGGAGGTAATTCTTTCTATGTTTGCGGTTTTCCATTCGTTTTCTCTGACCATTTGCTGAGGTTTTTCTCCGTGGTGATGGCTGAGATGACAATGTGTTGGGGGTTTAACTTATGAGCTCTGAATATCAAGTCGTTTCGAGATTTCCAAATCTGCCATAATAATAAAGCAAGGAGCTCAAAGGATACAGAGGTATGTTTAAAATTCAGCACCATTCCTCTATTCGAGTCACTGCGTACCTATCAACTTCAATATTTACTGACGGGTTGTTCCATATTTGCTGAGTCCAGGGGCATAGCAGAAACAGATGCTCTATGGATTCTGGATTCTGTTGACATATCAAGCAAGTGGCTTCAGGTATGATCCGTCTTCGAACCAGATTCTCCTTAGTTGCGAAGGCGTTTTGGCAAACTTGCCAGAGAAAAAATCTGATTTTGGGTTGTAATTTTGCCTTCCAAATTCTATTCCATAATTCTTTGGGGGTTTGGTACGACGTTGAAGCTTGATTCTGATTTGGTGTTTCTTTTTGTGCTTTGATGTTGTTATACGCACTCTTCACTGTGAACTGCCCTGTTTTGGTTGGTGTCCACACCAATTTGTCCTCTGGAAGTTGGGGGTTAATGGGAATGGCTAAAATTTCCTGGGTTGTTTCAAAGTCAAACACCTCTCTCGCCCTTTTTTCATTCCATTTGGCTTCCTCCCTGACCATTAGTTCGGATACCCGAGTTGGATCCTCTCTGTTCGCAGGCCCTCCAATCAAGCCTCTCAACAGCCACTTATCTTCCCTTATGTTGATTTTCTCACCATTTCCAACCACCCATCGAATTGACTGACTGATTACATTACGGCCTAAAATCAAGCTTTGCCATCCCCATGAGGGACTTGAACCTTTTTTTGCATGCAATAAATCTGTATGAGGATAATACAATCCTTTAAAAAGCCGACTCCAGGGAGAGTATGGATTCCGGATTAGTCTCCATGCCTGTCGCCCCAACATTGCCTCATTAAATGTAATTAAGTCTCGAAAACCTAGGCCACCTTCATCCTTTCTTGCTTTAAGAGTGTCCCAGTTTTTCCAGTGTAACCCCCTCGTGTTTTCAGAATTTTTCCACCAGAAAGCTGCAATTTTCCTTTCAATAGTTCGACAAATGGATAGGGGGATTTTGAAGATGGACATTGCATACTGCGGTAGAGCTTGCACCACTGTTTTAAGGAGGATTTCTTTCCCTGCCTTAGATAAAAAATTTTCTTTCCAACCTTCCAGTTTCTTATTGACTCTATCGAGGATCCAAGCAAACATTTGTTTTTTTGAGCAACCCCAGTCGGATGGTATTCCCAAATACTTCCCTGTCTTCTCTATCTCAGGAACTCGAGGTCAACCAGGATTTAACCAGGGAAGTAACTCTTGAGGAGGTTACTAAGGCAACCTTCCAGCTAGGCACCTTAAAGGCCCCCGGTCCAGATGGCTTGAGTGGAAAATTTTTTCAATATCACTGGAAGGACATCCAAAATGAAGTATTCAGAGAGGTAAGACTTTTCTTTAGTTCAGGAAATCTTAACCATGAATTAAATAAAACCTTTATTACCCTCGTTCCTAAAGTTCCTAATCCAGAAAAGCTAGATCAGTTTCACCCTATAAGCCTGTACAATTTCGCTTACAAAATCATTTCAAAAGTTATGACTAATAGATTGAAACCGTGGCTCCCGAAATTCATAGCCAAGGAGCAAAGCGCCTTTGTTAGTGAGCGACAAATTCAAGACAATATATTGATAGTACAAGAGGTACTCCATCAGTTACGAATTCGAAAGAGAAAAAAGAAATTCCATGCAGTGCTCAAATTAGACATGAAAAAGGCGTATGACCGGGTGGAATGGGATTTTCTGGAAGCGAGTATGCTGAGAATGGGATTCTGCGAAACATGGGTCTCCTGGATTATGAAATGTGTCTCCACAGCCTCATACAGTGTTAAAATGAATGGGGAACCTTTACCTACCTTTCATCCTACTAGAGGAATAAGACAAGGCGACCCCCTTTCTCCCTACCTCTTCATCATTATGGCTAATGTGCTATCTGTTTTGCTGCAGACAGCGGTGGGAAATGGAAGTATCAAAGGGATCAAATTAAACCACTTCTGCCCAACTTTATCTCACCTACTTTTTGCGGATGATTTAATACTCTTCCTTGCAGGAAAGATTGTTGAGTGTCAAAATGTGGCAGCGGTTCTGAATCAATACTGTTTTGCGTCTGGACAAGCACTAAATCTGAACAAGTCAGGTATGTTTTCCAGCAAAGACTGCCCAAGGGAATTAAGAAGAAATATGACGTACGAGCACGATAGAAGGTTATCGAGCCACGTTTATGCTCAATAAGAACCGTCACACATTAACATTCGGGCAAGGCAAGTAATGACGCATTCATGATGTACCTATTCTCTTAATTCTTCTTTTTTCGAATTGTCTTATGGCATCGGAACGAAATGGGCACGTTAGATTCCGATCGAGGCACACAATTCAAAGGCATCACTAAGTTGGGATGACGGAAAGACTCGATTGTCTAAATTGAGATGAGCAAAAGAGACTCAAAATAATGCAAAGAGAAATAAGCAAAGTGATTGAACATCAATGATAGTAGGCTCAGATCCAAATGCAATCTGCTGCAAGTGCGCAAAGGTGCGAACTTTATAGCTAAAAGCTAAGCTCCCTTCTTCTTCCCGTCGCTCTCCTCCTCCGTCAAGCTCAGTGCTCCGACCGACGGGAGCCGCGAATCGGGATCACCCGCGGCGGCGCGACGGTTTCGCCGATTGTCTCTCGAGCTTGAGCTGGAGAGGAAATTCATCTGGAGAAGCGGAGCCGTCGCTCTGCGCGGATGGGATCAGGTGAGGGATTTGTGGGTCGTTCGGATCGCCGCTCCAACCCTAGAGAAGAGGAGAGGGGAGACATGTCAGCGTGGGCATAGGGGAATTTTGGGTCAATGGTTTATGTTGCTGTAGCTGTTGTTCCGTTGCTGTCACTCTGGGTCTGGCCTCTTTCCTGCTTTTCTGCCTGATTGCTTGCTTGCGCTTGCTTGATTCTTGTTGCTCCGTCGCTATCGGCGCTCGTCGGCTGATGTTGTGCAACTCAAGCATAGAAAGATCTGCCCTTTAACCGACCCGGTTCCGTTGAGTTCGATCTCTCCGGAATTTCGATGGATTAGGCATTGCGGAATTGCGAAACGACGGCAAAAGGCGAAAAGGAGAGATTTTCCCTCGATTCGAATCGGACCGATTAGCCCTGGGTGGTGGTGATGATCGGGGCTGTGCAGCTGGGGGTTCTGGCTGCGTGCGTGGTGCTGTTCGTGCCGATGGGAATGGCGGGCTGGCACTTGAGCCGCAACAAGATGTTGTTCTTCAGCGGCGCCCTCTTCATCACCCTCGCCGTGGGCGTCCACTTGTCCCCTTACTTCCCATCCTTCTCCCAATTCCTGACGTCCCCCGCCACCACCGTGGTTTTGGGCGACGGTCGCGGCTCTTGTCTCTCTCTCTTGCACGACATTGTCTGGGATGTGAAGCCGGCCAGACTCATGCGACCCGTGAGCTATACAGATAGCAATACCAACGGCAGTAGCAAGAGCTCTGCCTACGATCGGGAGTTGTTGTGGAGCTGGGTGAGATCAAAGTCTGTCCTTGAATGTGATTTCCAGAAACTGCGGTCTTCTGATGCTTCGGATCTACTGAATGGGTCATGGGTTGTTGTGGCTGGGGACTCGCAAGCACGTTTGGTCGTGCTATCTCTGTTGAACTTGGTTTTGGACTCAGATCAGATGGAATCTGTCAAAGGTGATTTGTTCAAGAGGCACAGCGATTACAGGATCACTGTTGCTGGAATTGCGTTGAAGTTGGATTTCATTTGGGCACCTTATACTTCTAACTTGACTGATTTGATGTTAAGGTTCAGGCAAAATGTGAACCTTCCAGATGTTCTTATAATGGGTTCTGGACTGTGGCACATGCTTCATGTCAGCAATGCCTCTGATTATGGTGTTTCACTGCAGATGTTGAGCAGTTCTCTTGTATCATCATTACCATTTTCGCAAGAATTAGGCGACGATGGACCTGTAACAGGGTCTGTGCCAATTAGATCGCAACATTTGTTTTGGCTTGGGATGCCAACTCTAATAAACTCGAGGCTAAACACAGAAGAAAAGAGGGAAAAGATGAATAACCGGGCTTTCTATTCGTACAATATGGAGCTCCATAAGAGTAGGATACTGCGGCAGGCGGGTGGCCATTTCTTTCTGCTGGACATTCATTCATTAACCCAGAGTTGTGGACCTCAGTGCACAGAGGATGGGATGCATTATGATGGAGCTGTCTATAATGCTGCTGTACAGATTGTCCTCAATGCATTGCTTATTGAATCCAATCAAAAGCTCTGAATGAAAAGTTTTGGTATTTTTGGCGTAAGCAATTCATAGGCAAAACTGACCATGATGATTTGAACTCCCACAAAGCAGCCATCTTCCTCCCAAGAAGAGACGTACTTTTTTTGTAGTTAGTTTGATCATTGCCATTGCGTTTCTGTTGATTAACAATATGTCATTGCCAAACAAGCAAATAGAAAAGTTATTATTCTTTTGTTCCCTTAATTTTGTATCTTTAATTTTGGTTAAGAGCTTCGCTATGTTACGCTGAGTACTTACTTGTATTGGCTATAGTCATCTTTAATCAAATTTGGAATTCTTTGTCTACATTTCTGCTGCTACTCTTCACATCTTTCATCATTAGTCAACTTTTATATCTTTTGATCACTCGCTGATAAATGCTTGGTGACAATTGTTCAATATGTGGCTTCTAATACTTCTTTCAACAGAGCCTATCAAGTGTGTTTATATGCAATTGGTTTGTAATTGCAATTTTAAAGTGAGTTTCATCTATCTCGTTAGCCATTACGTAACATTGCTTGATCGTTTGATTTTGCTCATTGAGCAGTGGGACAACTGTTCTTTATCTATGGATGTGCTATCGTTTATTTGTTTAGAAAGATGGCAGTGGGAGGAGCACATGTGGTAACTGGTTGATATGGATGGTGACTAGCATATTGGTAGGAATAATCCCAAGTGTGACAGTGATGAGGTAATTGCTATTTGGCCATTTCTTGATCTTCTTTTCTCACATAATTTAGCTTTTCTCACCAGTCAGTAACCAAGGTTGATTTTTAGCTCTTCTATTGATAAGGGATAAGTACTTGGTGACAAGTGTTCTATATATAGCTTTGACTATTGAAATCAAAGCAGCCTAATTCACTTGTTGGGTCAACGGTCTCAGAACACTTGGGTGAATACAAAACAGCCGCTGTTTCTTTGGTAGAGGAACTCTTTGGTCTTTAGCATCATGATTGAGCTGTCCACAATGTCGCTGTTCTTAATTTTCATGTCCTCCGTGCTCTGATTAATTATTTTTATCAAGAGCTTTGAATGGATATATATTTTAATAGTTGCCTCAAGTCCCATAAATGCACCTAGTTCGTGGTTCAATGCATAAATTATTGGTCTTCAAGCTGCTTGAATTGTATATGCTATGGAACGTGGCATCAAATTTAGCCATAAAAACTGCCTGAGCATTTCGACAATGCTGCATGTGTTATCGTCTTCTGTGATATATGCTGCAATGGAAGTTCACTAGTTTTTTTCCATGCAGAAAAAGTTACTTGCAAATTTGAAGAAAGTTATTTTTATTGCTTCTCATTGGACTGTGGCTGTAGCCTGTAGTGTTCAGTCTACAATAGTTTACGCCTTACTGCTTTCTAATAAACTATTCTAAGTGAAATGAGGAGCCAGCAAGTGCGTGCTTTCAGATGGTAGACTTCAAAAGGTTATCTCAGACGTCTGAGACATTAGAGGGCTGTAAGGTGAGATGAATCTCTCCAATGAAAACAGTTAGGTTTAGAATAGTTGATGTAACAAATCAGTTAAAGGATGTGTATCATGCATTGGTGTCAGAGTATGATGCAAGTTATATGAATTAACTTTATTCCAGAGATCTACTTAATGCACCTTGCTTTTTTAAAACTTAAATCAAATATGTGGCATCGCTGCAGTATGCTTTTCATAGAATTTAGTTGCCAACGTGTTCATGTTGCATTTTAGTGTAATCAGGTAATCAATTTCTGTTCCCTTTTTTTTTCTGGCCTGCCAGTTTAAGTCGACATTTCTTTTGAGGATGTTTTAGCTTCTGCTAGTTCTTCTGGTTTCTCATGCAGATGGAGTAATCATATTAAACAGTTTAGTGGCCTCTTGTCCTTCGGTCAACAAACATTAGCAAGGACTGTTGGACTGACATAAGTGCATGCAAGTAACGCCAGGCAGAATCTGTCATCTGCTGGTTGAATTCATCTGTCCCTGTTTCCAAGCTGCATGACCTCTCAGGCACCTGTCCATCGCCTCTTTATGCTTCATCCACCAATCCCATTGCATGCTGATAATCTTGCAACAGTATCATTTGGTTGAAATTTATTTCGTGTGCATGTAACCTTGCAAGGGGATCATGCGGCTGAAACTGATATTGGGTCTTAGCTGAAATTTCGAGTACATTCTTTAAAGGCAAATTTGCAAAGAACAAACAGTTCAGGATTTTATCATAGGAGTTTTGCAGAATTCAAGTTCTCATTGAGAAGCTGAGGCTAGTTGGGACAGGATAAATTACTGCAAGATGACTAAGAAGCTTTGGAATGGGGAATTGATGAATTCTCATTCTGCTTGGAGAATGACACCCTTAGGAGCGAAGAAAAGGTCATGTGCAGACCTGTAAAAGGAAGATCATTGACTTGTTTCATGCACAAAGCGCTCGGAGAAGCATGCACGGCAATGCACACATTACAGTAATTGAGGACTTCACTCCTCTAGGATTGTCGCAGCCACTGCCCAATTCATGTGCTGGCCCATTTCCAAGTGCTATTTGGGTGGAAATTAGCATGGAAAGTATTGAAGGCTTGCTGGAGTTTCATGGAGTTTGAGGGGATAATGATATTTCTTATTATGTTTAATGAAGGAATTACAATACACACTTAACATAACGTAAACCCCTCTAAACACGATATTATAATTCTACCTTCATTATCATAATTCTAACACTCCCCCTCAAGTTGGAACGTAAATGTCAAGTAGTCCCAACTTGTTACATAAAAAAATCCACTCTATTCCCTCATAGGGATTTTGTAAAAATATCTGTTAGTTGATCATATGTCCTTGCATGTTGAAGAATGATTCCCCTTTCTAGACCTTCTCTCATATAAAGTGACCAACCTCAATATGTTTGGTTCGCTCATGGAAGACAGGATTGTTCGCAATATGGATGGCTGATTGATTATCACAATATAATGTTGATGGATTTGATGTTGACACACTAATTTCTGACAATAACATCCTTAACCAAATCAATTCACCTGTCACATGTGCCATAGCTCTATGTTCTGCTTCAGCACTCGATCGGGAAATCACATGTTTTTTTTTACTTTTCCAGAAAACTAAATTACCTCTAAGAAATACACAATACCCTGATGTAGATCTTCTATTAGTAGGACATAGAGCCTAGTTTGCATCAGAGAATCCTATAATTTTCAGATGACCATAATTCTTGAAATGTAGTCCTTTACCTGGTGTTCCCTTCAAGTACTTAATAGCATTCCAGTGAGTAATACGAGGAGAACTCATAAACCGATTCACTACACTGACAGCAAAGGATATATCAGGCCTTGTAATAGTAAGGTAATTCAACTTACCCATTAATCTTCGATATTTGACTGGATTATGTAACAATTGTCCATTTGATCAAGTTTCACATTAGGCTCTATAGGTATATCAACTGGTTTTGCTCCAAGATATTCGACCTCATTAAGAATATCAATCACATATTTTTGTTGTGATAGATTGATACCTGTCGTGAGTAGGCAACTTCAATCCCAAGAAAATATTGTAGACATCCCAGATCTTTAGTATTAATTATGTATGCAAAAACTGCTTAAGTCGTTGAATACCATTCGAATCACTATCAATGATAATAATATCATCCACATAGACCACCAGAAGAACACAATCAGCTGAGGAGACAGAACTAAGCACTGAATGATCTATTTGACACTGTTTTACCCCAAACTTGATAACTGCATCAGTGAATTTACCAAACCAAGCACAATGAGACTTTTTGAGTCCATATAAGGCCGTATGTAAACGACAGACCAGATTCTCTCCCTGAACAATAAACCCAGGTGGTTGCTCTATATATATTTCTTCAGCCAAATCACCATGTAAGAAGGCATTTTTTTACGTCCAATTGATGAAGATGCCAGCCAAAGTGTGCTGCCAGGGAAATAAAAACACGAACAGATGAAATTTTGGCAACAGGTGAGAAAGTATCATCATAATCAATACCATATGTCTGAGTATATCATTTGGCAACTAACCGAGCTTTCAATCGATCGAGAGAACCATCAAGATGAACCTTAACGGTGAAAACCCAATGACAACCAACATGTTGTTTACCTTTAGGTAGTAATGTGAGCTGCTAAGTATGATTCTCAAAAAGAGCCTTCATTTCATCTTCCATGGCTTGTCGCCATCCAGGATAAGCAAAAGCTTCATTAACACTGCCAGGCACAGAAATAGAGGACAAGGACGAGACAAAGGTAGAAAAGGCAAGAGACAAATGATCATATGATAAGAAATTGGACATTAGATGATAAGTACGAAGACAAGAAGAAGAAAGGTCAGAAAGTGAGCATAGCGATCCATAGGACGACCAGCACAGGAACATGTACCTTTCTGAAGAGCAATGGGTGGATCAGGATCGGAGGATGGTGCTGCAATTGATGGAGGAATAGATGAATCAGATGTCTGTGGGACCTGTACTACCGTGGAAGGAGCTGTAGCACGCCGTTGATATGTACGTTCAGCAAATTGAAATAATGTTGATGGTGCTTGAGGTATAGAGAGTGGAGGAAGTGCTGGGAGGACACACCCGCCACCCTCCGTAGGATCTGATTGAGTATCATAATAAGCTTGATCTTCAAAGAAAGTCACATCAGCTGACACAAACAGACGGTGACGAGTAGGACTATAGCATTTATAGCCCTTTTGAGTTCGAGAGTACCATAAAAAGACACATTTCTCAGCACAAGAATCTAATTTATCAAGACCTAGAGAAAGACGATGAACATAGCAAATACAACCGAAGACACGCAAAGGTAATGCAAAGAGAGAAAGATCTGGATGTAAACTAGAAAATGGTTTCTCCCCCTTAAGGACAGAAGTTGGAAGCTGATTAATCAAGTAACATGCTGTAAGTATAGCATGGCCCCAAAAATGTTTAGGGAGATGCATATGAAACATAAGACAACAAGCAACATCAAGAAGATGACGATTTTTGCGTTCAGCTACACCATTTTGCTATGAAGTATATGAACACGTTGTTTGATGAAGAATACCATGAGATTCAAAAAAGGATTTAAAACCAGTAGAGGAGGCAAGATATTCTTTGGCATTATCTAATCGTAAAGTTTTAACAGACCTATTATACTGATTCAATACTTTAAAGTAAAATAGGCGAAAGCAATGAAAAATCTCAGTACGATCTTTTATTAAGAATAATCAAGTCATTCGAGAAAAATCATCCACGAATGTAACAAAGTATCTAAAACCAGAAGTATCAGAAACACGACACGGATCCCACACATCTAAGTGAACTACCTCAAATG